AGCTTCCGGATCGAATTCCGGTAAAGCCCGTTCGTTCGCAACCCGTTTTGCCTGACTCGAGCCCATGCGGATAGCCTCTGTCAACGCCGAAGTCAACTTAGCAATTTCGGACTCACCAGACATCCCTGCACCGTCATCGCTCCCGATCGATCTATCCTTTGACCGTCGTTCACTTGCATGGCTCCTGCCCGGTGATCTCTTGTCTTTTCTCCACCTTTCCGTGCTCCCTGACACCTCCTCTCGCCGCGCGTTGCGGTTCCTCGGAGTGCAGGCTCGGCGATAACAGTACCTACTCGATTCCCCCTCTCGATAGTAGTCCTCCGGACTCCTGGATCGGCTCCTGGATTGAGACGGAGATGATCCCGCTCGCCTAGCCGCTTTACGCGACGCCTTCGATCTCCGCTCATAATCACGCGATCGCGACTGCTTCGGCATCGCACTCTGACACTTGCACCACAGTACCGTACTAACTAGTGCTCACTGCACACACTAAAGTTTCTCCAGTGGAGTTGGTATATCCCACTTCTGATATGTAGGCGAATAATTCTACACAGGAATTTCAGTTAGCAACAAAGCGTATATTTTCGTGATAAAACTGAAGACTGGTTCGGACGTGTGATCTCGGCGACGTTCTCCAGACGAAGTGTCGCCTGGCCTCGTGTCCTCGTTCGGGTATCCTCCTCGGTCCAACCCTCGTCCGGATACCCTAGCTCGGTTTACAGGCGTCAGTCATAAACATTGGAATCGGCCCATGGTCCTTAATCTCGAGTGGCCTCTTCCAGCGTATAGCCAAGGAAGTTTTCCCACGCCGACGGGCGGCGTGGCTAATCATTTGCTTACAATAGTACGATGGCGAGATTATTCTCGTTAAAACTCTGCCTACTACTACTACTACTACTATTACTATTATTATCATCATCATCATCATCGTCATCATTATTATTATTATTACTATTATTATTATTATTATTATTATTATTATTACTATTATTATTATTACTATTATTATTATTATTATTATTATTATTATTATTATTATTATTACTAACCATTCCGATGAGTCATGAATCTCGGTAAATTCGGCACGCAACAAAGGCCAATTTTTTGAGGATGAAAGCGAACGATGGTCAGACACTGAATTTTTATAATCGTATTATAAAAAGAGAAAAAGCCCTTAAAGCCGACAAAACTGCCATCCATCGATCGATGGTTCCATTTGTTAGAGAAACGTGGAGAGAGAACTTTTTTTCCGAAACACAAATTCCGTGGTCGTGCACGTGCGTCGCGAAAAGAAAAACCCAAATCAGCATGTCCAGTAATATTACTATCATAAGTACAATATATTAAGTGTTTTCAGAAAATATATGATCTATATATGATAATAAAAGCTGGGAAACGTTTCACAGCGAATTTCTCATTTTCTCATCTACAGTCATTGATCCTCGTTCACCTTCGCCTCTCATTCCAAATAAAATTCTATATCGTTTCTCGTGTTTTGCCCCGACTATTCAGTTTTAAAATTGCCTCTTCATTCTAGCAAGTATACAGAGCACAAGGAGGAAACTCACTAACTGAAATAATAGAAAGACAGTTGAGTGATTTTGATCTGTATGTTCGAGTACAGATTTGAAAATATGTATGTAGATGATATATTTCTCATAATTCTTAAGTTTGTGCATTTATCTCTGAATATGTTTTGATAAATCCTGTGATTCGTACAAGAAAGCGTTCAACTCACTATGATTAGGAAAATCAGCAGCACGGTCAAGCTAATGGTGTGTATATGAGACTTCAGCAATAGTACGGCGTTTCTCAGGCATCCTGATTTATATGCCACTGCTTCTGTCATTCGTAAACACTGTGGAAAAATTCAACTTGAATAACAGAATTGAAGATAACGATTGCAGATTTTGCTGCAAATACGCAAAGCTAATTTTTGTCAATGGAATGCAACTGCAGATTGCTGAAGTGGTCCATTTTATAATAATGATCGGTATTGATGTATATTTCTCAAAAAGCTAATTATTGAGTAAGAAAACTTTACTTCTTCGATAGATCTGGAGCAACAGCTTGTTGGAATTTCAGCGCGATACTTGAGCCAGTCCTTCGCGGACTTTATTCCACAACATTTCAGCTGCAATAAGTTTTTTTTTTTGTAATTAACTGTAACTTGACTTTTGAAAGACAAAAATCGATGCAAGATCTTTCAGAGACATCTTGTGGCAAGTAAGAGAAACTCTCTTACGTATCTGTGGGTATTATCCCAAGCTTCTCTGCTCGACGGAGAGGAATGATATCCCTCGATGGTGGCGCTCATGTCGATCTGAATCCTCCTTACGATTTCCTCCAAAATCCAAAAACTCATTATGCCGCTAACGAATATGACGCAGAGAAATGTCAAGCAACACAGACCATACTGTAATAAAATAATTTTTTAAGTTTCTCTGTCGTTTATTACGCAATTTTCGATTCTATAAAAAGAATAAAACTTACAACTTTCAAACATTTCGTTTTCTTTCGAAGCACGCCGAGAATCCCCAATAATGATACTAATGAACCAATTAAACTGGCAAATAACAACGTTGTAACATAAAAGCGTTGGTCTATCAGTCTCATCATTATTTTATTGTCAGTGAAAATCCATATAGAGATTACAATGCCAATAATGCCTGCAATCTTTAAGTATTTTTTTTCTTTTTTTTTAACATCTACAACACTTTTATTAATTAATTCTCAAACGCAATAAATTTTTCTTTTTTTACACTATGAACAGCTATTACAATTTCTTTTGAAAATTGAAAATATCTACAAATTTATAAACTATAAACGATAAAGGTCTGATAAAACTTCCGTTTATAAACCTTTGATAATTTGTTATTATTTTGATAGTGATTAATGCTTACAAAAACTGCAACATTGATTGTTAAGAAAACCAGTTTAATACATCGTTGCGATAAATGATTGTGTGAGAACTTGTGAAAATGCATTCCAAGGAAATTAGACTCTTTGTCGGTGGATACGGTGGATCCCGTACTATCGGTGACGTCCTCGTCGTTTTCCGTTTCCGTCGTTTCCTCATTCGCATGCTCCTCGTGATCTGGCGTCCAGGTAAAAAATTTACTCCAATTCATAAATTTAACTAGGACGTAGCTGAAACAGTAAACGAACCAAACGTAACTGGAACGTAGCTAAAACAGCAAATGAATAAAAGTGATTAGAAAATGATAAAACTTCTCTCTTGACAATTCAATTCAAATTTAAATTTTTTTGTAACGCTAGGTAATTATTTCTCAACGTTGCACACCCTGCAACGTCGACGAAAATAACTAAATATTGAAACTTCTTCGCGGCATTTTTGTGCGAGCTGTCGGTAGCATTTGTAACCGAACGCAATCGTGTTTAATGCCTGTGCCATTTCGAACGTAAAACTGCAAAATGAATAAGAAGCAATTTTCAGCACCCTCCGCCACAAAAAAAGCAAAATATCGGTAAATACTTTTTGCATTTATTTTTAACCTTACTTAATTTTTTGCCCTGCACAAATTTGTACATATATTCAAATCCCTGCTTTGTTGAATAATAAAAAAAGATGGCATTAAAACTTTCACTGAATCTATTTTTTTATTATCACTTTTATGAAATAAAAACATTGATATCAAATGATCTTTCTCACATGTACATTTTCTATTACGTCTCATTATTTTGTATTTTCTGATTATTATTGTTATTTTGATTTCTAAATCCTCTTTTTAATTTTCATTGACCTTAATTTTCTGCTTTTTATTTCCATGATGACTAATAGCAATGACGATGAAGACGATGATTATCCCGGTTCGTTTGAAGCTGAATTGGCTACTATGGATGAAATGGAAAATGAATTTGGTGACATGTCTCAAGTCATTGAAGAGGTATATAAGCATTAAACAATGTATTATCTATTTTGTGCTATCAAATAAGTTATACTTTGTAAAATACTGTTTAATCTATATTGATTGCTACAAAATTTTTACATATACTGAAAGAAGATTACACAGTTTTGTATAAAGTAATTTCAATATATTATTAATTATTACTTTGTTATCCTAGCCACCTGATGTACAATTAACTAAAGTATCAAAAGCAGTGAGTTGATTCATATAATAAAAGTATGTTTATATACTGAATATTTTAATGTAAATATTAAATTTATCAAATCATTAAATTCTTGAAATCATACAAACTTTACTAATTGCCAATTTTTACATGTTGTGATATGTATTTTTTCATTCATGTAATAATGAATTTTTTCTATTATTTTCACTATTTAATTCATAATTCATTTGTTGTGTTTCGTTTGCAATTTTGTTTTACTTTCTGGTTGCTGAATGCTTCCTGCTTTTGCATGTACAGTTTATGATTGTTTTATGCTACATATATTTATAGCGTAAACTTGAATAAATTTATTGTTTCAATGAATAATTATTCTTATCAGGGTCCTGAACAAGAAAATACATATTCAAAATGGACCAGACCACCACCTCCATTGTTAAATCCACAAAAAGATGCATTGATTTTCCAGCAAATAGATATTGATCATTACAGTGGTAAGCATACTGTGAATAAGAAATAAATTTTATCATACTATTTCAAATCAGGTTGTATTATAAAATCAAGTTGTATTTTTATTTCTTTTTTTTTAAGGTGCACCGTTACCCGGAATGCCTGGCAGTATCATACCTCCTGTACCAATAATGAGAATGTTTGGTGTTACAGAATTGGGGAATTCAGTTTGTTGTCATGTTCATGGATTTAGCCCCTATTTATATATTACGGCACCACAAAATTTTAATGAGAATCATTGTAGATTATTAAAGGTATACAATTTTAAGAATTAGTAGTTAGAATTTCAGATTCTTTTATTACACCAATATATTATTTAGGAAGCTTTAAACAAAGCTCTGTTAAAAGATATGAGATCAAATCCAGAGAATATTCAAGAGGCTGTGTTAGCTGTTGAGCGAGTGTATAAACAAAACATGTATGGTTATACAGGAAGTGACAAATCGTTATTCTTAAAAATTACAGTAGCACTTCCAAGACTAGTAGCACGTTGTAAGAAAATAGTAGAAGAAGAAACCATTTTAGCTGAATTCAATCATCAATATACTGCTTTTGAAAGTAACATTGATTTTGATATTAGGTATACAATTGTATTGTATCTTCTATTTCTTAAAGTTTTAATTTCTTCTGTATTTCCAACCAAATAATTGTTTAAGATTTATGGTTGACACATCAGTAGTTGGATGTTCATGGATTGAATTGCCACCAAAAACTTGGAAACTTCGACAACATTTTGGACACAATTTACCCTTGACTACAAGATGTCAATTAGAAGTTGATATCGCGTGGGACGCATTCATTGCTCATGCTCCCCAAGGCGAATGGTCGAAAATTGCTCCATTTAGGATTCTTAGCTTTGATATCGAATGCGCGGGTCGCAAAGGTAAAATTATACTTTGTTTAAATATTTTTATAGATGTATAGATGTATGTTATTCCTTTTTTTTTTTTTTTTTTCATATAATAGGAATTTTTCCGGAACCAAATCACGATCCGGTTATACAAATTGCTAATATGGTAATAAAACAAGGAGAAACGGAACCTTTTCTGCGAAATATTTTCACCCTCGATACATGTGCACCAATTGTTGGTTGCCAAGTTTTAAGTTTCGAGAAAGAACAAAAATTGTTAGAGGTATGAGTATATCCAAAATTCAATTTTTGAGTTCAAGATCAAGTTGAAATCAACTGGTATATGTCGATTGTATTTTGTTTGTCTTAGAAATGGGCGGACTTCGTAAGACAATTAGATCCCGATATTTTTACAGGATATAATATAAATAATTTTGACTTTCCTTATTTGATTAATCGTGCGAAACATCTTAATGTGAAAGATTTTTACTTTCTTGGTCGAATAAAAAATATAAAATCAGTAATTAAAACTCAAGTGCTTCAAAGTAAACAGATGGGTCGACGTGAAAATAAGTCCATTAATTTTGAAGGAAGAGTTCCATTCGATCTACTACTGGTAAAACTAATTTTGCTAGAAAGAACCTACTAAATTACTAAATCTAACAATAAATTAAAATTCACTCTTATGTTTAGGTACTAGTCAGAGATTACAAATTAAGATCTTACACTCTAAATGCTGTTTCGTATCATTTTCTACAAGAGCAAAAAGAAGATGTCCATCATAGCATTATCACGGATTTACAAAATGGTGATGCACAGACGCGTCGAAGACTCGCTGTTTACTGTTTGAAAGACGCGTATTTGCCGCTTAGATTGTTAGATAAGTTAATGTGCATTTTCATCTACATGGAAATGGCAAGAGTTACCGGGGTTTCGATGTGTAGTTTACTAACTCGAGGCCAACAAATTAAAGTTGTTTCACAATTATTAAGAAAAGTAAGTAAGATTGTTTTCATTGATTTGTGAGATCAATTATTAGAATACAGATACATGATTCCAGACTCGAGAAAAAGACTACTTAATGCCTGTCCATCGAGGTCAAGTTAGCGACGAACAGTTCGAAGGTGCAACAGTTATAGAACCAAAACGCGGATACTATAACGATCCCATTGCAACTTTGGATTTCAGTTCTTTGTATCCCAGTATTATCATGGCCCACAATTTATGTTACACTACGTTGTTAAAACATGACAAGCAAATTAAATTGAAAATTGATTCGGATGATATTACCGTAACCCCGACTGATTCAAAATTTGTCAAAGCTACTCTTAGAAAGGGAATCCTTCCAGAAATTCTAGAAAATCTTTTGTTAGCTAGAAAAGCGGCAAAAACTGAACTGAAGAATGAAACCGATCCGTTAAAACAAAAAGTGTTGGATGGTAGACAATATGCTTTGAAAGTATCCGCCAATTCTGTATATGGTTTCACTGGTGCACAAATGGGAAAATTACCCTGTTTGGACATTTCTGCTGTAAGATTTTAATATTCATATTTTTCAATAGATTAGGTTCCCTTTTATAATAAAATGGTTGATTTTCAGAGTGTTACCTCATACGGTCGTACTATGATAGAAAGAACAAAGCATGAGGTGGAAGAGCAATATTGCACTTCCAAAGGGTATAAAAATGACGCGATAGTTATATATGGAGATACTGATTCTGTTATGATTAAGTTTGGTGTGAAAACAGTCGAAGAAGCCATGGAACTTGGTCGAGTAGCAGCGGAATACGTATCCTCGAAATTTTTGAAACCAATAAAACTGGAATTTGAAAAAGTATATTTCCCGTACCTGTTGATTAACAAAAAACGATACGCTGGCTTATATTTTACTCGTCCAGATAAATACGACAAAATGGATTGCAAAGGTTTGGAAACTGTACGAAGAGATAATTGTCCATTAGTAGCAAACATGATGAATACTTGTTTACAAAAATTACTCATCGATAGGTAACTCAATATTATATTTATAATGTACAGTAAAACAAAACAAAAAATTTTCAATTTGCTACTTCTTTCCTTCTTTCTTATAGAAATCCCAATGATGCGCTGAATTACGCTAAACAGATTATAAGCGATCTTTTATGCAATCGTATAGATATCTCTCAGTTGGTAATTACGAAGGAATTAACCAAAACCGACTACGCGGCCAAACAAGCGCACGTCGAATTAGCAGCAAAAATGAAAAAACGAGATGCCGGAAATGCTCCAAAACTTGGCGACAGGGTACCGTACGTTTTCACACGAGCAGCCAAAGGCACACCGGCTTATCAGAAAGCTGAAGATCCTATTTTTGTCTTAGAAAACAATATTCCTATAGATACAAACTACTACTTGGAAAACCAGTTAGCCAAACCATTAGTGCGGATTTTTGAGCCTATTCTTGGTGAAAAGGCTGAATCGCTCTTACTGAAAGGAGATCATACACGCACAAAATCCGTTGTTACATCAAAAGTCAGTGCTTTATCCGCATTTACGCGCAAGAAGGAAATATGCTTAGGATGCAAAGCCGTTCTAACACCGGAAAGAGAAAAGATGGCAGTGTGTAAATATTGTGAACCAAAAGAATCAGAATTATATCAAACGGAGTTGTATACTGGTAGAAAATTGGAAGAAAAATTCTGTAGATTGTGGACAGAGTGTCAAAGATGTCAGGGAAGTCTTCACCAGGAAGTGTTGTGTACAAAGTTCGTTCTCTAATCAATTAATATGCATGCTTTTTTTTTTTTTTTAGTGAAAATATGTGTTTATTAAAACTAATATTATATTCTTTTTATAGCCGCGATTGTCCAATATTTTATATGAGAAAGAAAGTTCAAATGGAATTAGATACACAGATGAAACGAATTGAAAGATTTGGAATTCCAGCTTGGTGAAGTTAAAATAGGTCGAGAAGCATGAAAGGTATGTTTATTTTGTAATTTTTATGCTGACACATGCAAAAATAATTACTGTTTTATATGTAATCGCAACACAAAATTAAAATAAAATGAAACGAGTGTTTGTATAATTGACATAAAAAATTTAATTCCTTTCGCAAATTTTTGTACAAATCATATATAGAAAGTTTATAAATTTCTATAATGATTTTATATAGCAATTATTTTTCCATGTTTGTATATATGTAAATTGAAAAGTTTTTTCCTATGTTTATAAAAACACATTCTATTTAAAATTCAAAAATTATATTTGCAATTAATATTTGTGGAATATTTATTATGAAATAATATTTATAAAGATTTTAAATACATAAATTAATTATCAAATCTTAGTATACTGGTCAAGTAGTTTAATTATCTAATATTATTTGGTATTAAATAATTTATTATTGGATAAAAACTAACAAAATTTTTATTTTTGTCAAAGATCAAATTTAAATGTATTCTTGTTTTGAAATATCAATTTTGTTTCTGTATGGCAGTATCGTGTGTTTCCAATTTTATGTAATAAATTTTTTAAACATCATTGTGCTTTAATTCTACGTCAGATCGTCTTGTATATTGTTTCTTATAAAAGGGAACGTTACATATGTATCTTAATGTTACACGACCGAAATTAAATCAGTTACACATATTTACACAACTATTCACAGAGTATGTCAAAATGTTGACACTTCAAATAATTACCAGTTTTACCATTAATACTTATAAATGACCTTTTGACTCATACAAGTGATGTATTTATATCACTGTACATTATACTTTTCATTGCCAATATAATAACAAATTTATAATTTTTCGAAAGATTTATATATAAATCCGATAAACTTCATATTGCTTTGTATAGTAATAAAAATCCTTTATTCAATGACTCTTATGATACTATTGGATACTAAAAATTGCGTAATGTAATCATGATAAAATTATTCGTTAATGATGCGGAAAAAAGTATTCAAACCTCTATGTTTATTTTATTTGAAGTTGAAAGATAAAAGTTTCGTTTGCTTTTATTGGCTTGCTTCACATTACGAAAATCGTGGTAAATCAAAAGAATTGTCTTCTCATATAATTTGTAAGACTATTTAAAATATAGTTGTAATAAATAGACAGAACAAGAGAAACGTGCCCAACAGTTCTGTGTGGGTTGTACAATTTGACAGTCATATGACTAGTCTTCTTAAGAAGGCTTGAGTAGAAAATTGTTTTAATGATGTTAATCATTTTTTACTTTGCAATGCATTCGACAACCAGTCCATTGCTTGATCAAGTCCTTCACCTTTAGTTGCAGATGTCTTAAAAATTTGGAACGTTCTGTTTTTAAGAGCATCTAATCCAAGCGCCTGATGCACCTCTGCAACACTTAAACACCCTGCCATATCTTGTTTATTTGCCAGGACCACTAAAATGGCACCTTGCAATTCTTCTTCCTAAACATACATATGATTTTGATGTGTACATTATGATTTTAAAAGCACAAAATTGTAAAATACATTCTGTGTGTTGGTGCTTTGTGTGATACTGTGAATAATTAATAAAATTTAAAAATAAAATAATCATTGAATTAATAAATGATCTTCAATTAACAACACAAAAGTATGCTTACCCTCAACATGTAAATTAATTCATCTTTTGATATGCCTATCCTATCCTTATCTGCAGAATCCACGACATAAATTATTGCATCTGTATTCGAGTAATAACACCTCCAATATGGTCTGTGAATTTGAAATGTAAGTTTACATTATAATCCTTGTGAATATTGCATCATTTTTAACAAATGAACCTGCGTAAAACTAAATAAACATACATTTGTATCCATGAGTATTATATAACATACCGTATACTAGTTTGACCTCCCAGATCCCATACTTGGAATTTTAAATTTTTATACGTGACCTGTTCTACATTAAATCCTATAGTGGGTATTGTTGTAACCACTTCACCAACTTGCAACCTAATAAACGTAACAATATTCAATAGAATTTGCTATATGCATAGTACGCCACATCCAATTTTCAAATAATTTACATCACACGAAGATACATCTATTATTTGATTACAAACATTTAAACCGGTTTGTCTGAACGAAGAATTTGTTCGATAAGGTTATTTGTACGATAATTAGCATACGAAGAAACAATTAATATATACTTATTATAAAGAGAAAAAAACAATTAAATAAAGAACGTATGCGTATATGTTAAAACATAAACTGTCAAACGAAACGTAGGAAAGACTTGTCAACGTAAGGCATACCTATACAAGATCGTAGTTTTTCCGGCTCCGTCCAGGCCTAGAATTAAAATTCGCATTTCCCGGCTGCCGAGTAAATTACGAAAATAACTGAGTAATCCTCCTGGAAACGTAGAACAATCGAAAATTATATCGAAATACACGAACGAAACCTTCGACAAATTGTCCACCAATGAAATTTATGTTCACTCGATAGATTCGATTTCAATTTCAGAAGCATGAACCTTCGTGAATTATCACACAACTCACCCATATCTCGATCACGTATTATTTCCAATTCATATAGTATAAATTAAAATTTATTGTCAGATGTAATAATCACAATTGTATCTAAGTAACCGGGGCGCACACCCCTTTTACTGTTCACTGATGCAGTCCGCTTCAGATCACTTGCTGACTTGTATCGTTACTCGTTACCCGAACTTGCTTGAAATTGTTCCTCTTCTCTCCGTATCTTCGATACAACGAGTAACGCACGAAGTAACTATGTTCAGGGTGTAGTTCTACTTCGTCGACTGGCCGACAACTATACCTTGCTAACTGACCGTCGCCATCCCCGCCATTTCTTTTATTTCTCTCAAATTGAGTCTAGGCCTTTTTTGCGCTTTATCAATCGAATACAATCGAATTAATATTATTAGCGCAATTTTACACAAGTCATAAATTCTTTTTTTTTTAACAGTAACAAACTTAACAAACGAGATAAAAAAATTGACGATGAATAGATTCAATTTTATGAACTATAAAAATTAATTGATTGTTAGAAATAATTATCGTGTAATTCTTTTTTGCTAATTAACCAGATTGGTTTATTTGGGTCAACTCAGTCAATCGGCATTTGTAATTAATAATAGTATAATTTTTTATGAATCTTCTCGCACAGGCCAAATATCCGACTTCAACACGAACGAATTCATATTTGTTAATATTTACAAAATGAACATTTCATTTGCTATAAAAGTTACTCTACCTAAAAATATTCCTCCTCTGTTATCTTGTCGTGATTAGTCATCTGTCTTAATACACTGATATACACGTATGTACTCAACATCCTTTGTTTGAAAAAGCAAATAAGAATGAAGAATTGAAAGATAAAGAATGAAAAGATAAAGAATTAGTTACAATATTTTCGTTCATTTCACTTGATTCGTAGTTAGGTATATCTATGTGTATGTGAGTAACTACGATTTATACTGACATACAACGAACTGAATTGAAAACGAAGTGATTAGAAATCCTTAAATGCTGCTAAATCGTTATATTTTATTTTACAGGCCATAGAGTTTATTCGAAATTACTATTAGGTCTAATTTCTTCACATGAAAAATTATAATCTATTTACTTGAATAATATATTTCGAGCAAAAAAGAACAAGATTTAAAGTATATCGTATATTCAAAATGAAATTAATTCAATATTTAATTTCTCTATCTTTCATACAAACATAATTAATATGTATTCAACGCAATTTTAAAATAGATATAAATGTGAATGCAAAATTTAAAAAGTTGTAAATACGTGAAACTAATACACATATGTGTATATTCAAATAAAGTACAAACTAATCAGGCAATTATAAAGTTCAATTTAAAACATCATTGTAAGAATACATGTACTCTCTGTCTGTACATCTGTTATATCATTGATAACAATCAGTGGTTATATCACTGACGACTCTAGTTCTCTATAATTATACGCTGTTCATTTATGCAAATGTACAAATAATAATTACAAATTGTGCTCTCTTCCAGTTATGGACAGCCAATTCTAGTTACATGCTTTTTATCTGTATAAATATTATATATATATATATATTTGTAAAACAGAGAAATAAATCTCTCACAAGATTTAAAAAATTTACAACACAATTTTCAAATTGCACGTAAAAAATTTAAGAGCACACGTTTCTTGAGTCCCTTGGGATCTCAAATATCAGAAACATCGTCCCAACTCCGTTAATAGCTGGAATCGAAACGTTAGTTCTCACAACGACTGATAGATGGCAGAGATATTGTCTTCTATGTTGTTTCCTTGCACGAGAGATTTTTTTTTTTTTCGTAACCTGGACCGAAAGTGGTTCTGCTGGGATGCTGCACAAACGCAGTGCCTGTGTTGCTAGTAATTGACAGCTGCCGAAAAGCGGCGACTCGGTCGGATGCGTGTGCAGATATGTTGTCTTGTTAATGAGATGGGTGATATTACACGCGAAAAGATCTGAAGGAAAAAAGGTGAATCTGTTTTCTCCCTGTGGTCGTGGCCTACCACTCAAGTTTTCAAACACCATACATTTCTACCATAATATCACACTCTACGTCTACGTGGTGCAATTTAAAAAGTTCATGTATGTCTATCACAGTTGCGAAACGTCGTGACCAACATCGCGACGTGTTTCATATTTACGTGTACGTATATCGTACCTCGAGTAAAATAGTGAAAAGAAAAAGATGTTCATGAAACGTGGACATTAGTCGAAAGTGAAGTTCTTTTGTTGATAATTTTATCGAATGTTCCTCGAGTATACGTCATGTCGAATACGTACATATGTTCATCCCTACCAATAAGCTGAAGAAAGTTTGGTAAGTTTTTTTTTTTAAAAACATCTTCCGTTACAGCTTTTCTATTAAAGAGAGTATATAGAAGTAGTACATATATATCAATATTAGTAGTATTCATTATTAAAAAATGGCAATTCTTGCGAATTCTTCAACTAACAATAAGTACTGTTTGAAAAATACAGTAATATAAATCACACGATAGATTTTTATCAATTTTGATAAATGTTTCCATGATTAAAATCTGATTAGTTCAGAAAATTTGTGCACTCTAACAATCGCTGGAAACCGGTTCTCTCGAAAATGAAGTTTTTCTCAAACGCACGCGACGTTCCTATGAGTCGTTTTGTCTCCAATTCGTTTTGTCTCGAAACTCAAGCACCTAACAGCTCCGATGGGTCATGAGATACCACATGAATTTTCGTCGATTTGCATCTCTAAACGAATTTATAGCTAACTAGTAGTTTTTCTGTAGTAGATCGACTCGCGAGAATCTTCCAATTCTGATAGATCGCAATCCCCTTCAGACTTTCGCTCGTTCGATAACAAGTTTACACATATAATATACATGTGTATATACATGGAGACACTCGTGTGGACCTACCATCGAACTTTTCCATTTAATACCTAGTGGATAGTCGTAGATTAATGATCCTGTCAAAATCCTATCATATTTGATAACTATAATTGATGTACTAAATTCCACATACATATTGTTCATAATTTTTGAATCTTATTTGCTCGAATCTTCACGAAGGAGTTTGGAAAAAAGGATGAAGTTTGATCAGTGTAATGGCTTTAAGTTTTGTTAAAGCATTAATCGTTTACATTTGCATTCATGGATCGGTCGACTCGTAACCAACCCGTATATAAATTGCGCTGATCTACGGTCTTCTTGGGGAGCGTTTACGTGCATGCTACTGTAACATTGCGAAAGAACCGACGAAAGAAAACTGTTACGAGCAAGTAGCAAAGTATGCCACTGTATTTGATGGTACGCGATGAAGGAATGCATCCGCGAGTTCGAGGAACCGATGTTTCTGTGTCTCTGTCTTTGATCGATAGGACAGCGAATCCAATCGACGAACGTATAAAGCAACAGTGACAAATGGGGAGAAGATTCGTTTCTATGAAAGGTCATTCGGGTTTCGTCGTATCCTGCGGCGGAACAGGGACATCTAGCGACCGTGGTTCATTTGGTTTTCAAATACGCGATAAGGATGACATTACAGATGGAGATAGAAGCTAACGAAAGTTACACCGGCGCTCACGAAAGTATTTCTACACGTATCACAAAAAATTTTTACGTGCGTTACACGAAACATCTTGAAATTTCATTGAATCTACGATTAGAGATGCGAGAATTTTTCAAATTTGAAACCCAGAGGTTGCACGTAGAGGTTAGAATACATATTTATTGGAAACATATATTTTCTAAAAATTTAATCCACAACATGTATACCTAATAATCTTAAGCGTATAATAAATTTTGAATGTATATGTTGATCTACTGAATATTCATGTTTACTTAATACATATGTATTATATATCCTCGAACGAAATATCTTGTAGCTTTCCAACTTTGATTTCAAATTTTGCCAATATGATCACAGGCACTCGATATACGTATTCATAAAAGATGCTAAATGTCTGTCCCTAAATGTTCAAGTACTTTTGTGAACAACTGTGTACTAGTATCGTACCGATTATTACATCGCTATCGAAAATTACTTATATTTGTCCTGCGACAAATGTTGGAATGTTCGAAAGGATGAGTGTGGGGAAATGTAATCGATGTTTCCCTAGACAGAACGCAACGGTCTAAATCGATCGAGAGACCGCGGCAAGTATCGTTATGATGCTTACTAGGGAGGAATGGAGAAAAAGATGGAAGAAAGGGAGGAGAGCTGCGTTTCTCTTGCGAAGAGAATCGCGGCAAGGATTCGAATAAGAAGCGCTGCGGTGGTTGAGCGCGTGAGGTGGGGCGGAGGTGAAAGGGGCGGGTGGGGGTTGGGAGGAAGAGATGGGAAGAGTGACCAGAGTAGAGTGGGTAAAGAGTAGGACAACAAGGTAAAAGAGCGAGTACACTGGTAAAAAGAGAAGAGAGGAGCGAGATGGGTGTATACGATATAGGTTTTGGTTTGGGCAGCCATTGGAATGCGGTGGCCGCGGGACGGACGGCCGTACGCCATGCCACGCCGTATATACATGTGAGTAGGTACACGTACGCCACACACTCGATGCCGCACACGGCACGGCATAGCCAATGTACCTACAGGGCCCAGCACCGCGTCCAGCACATTCCGTGCCCCAAGCAGAATTATACTTTTGTTTACACCCACGTTCGCTTCTCCGGAACACGAATTTTCGGCTGCACCCCTGATAAATCACCAACATCCTACGGCTGTCATAGTGTATCCGCGATCGTTACGCGCACGTGCAATAAATCGTTCCGCACATGCGAGCGACAGTCTATATGCTAAAACGGGTGTACAGCGCGGTCACGAAAGTATTCGAACGCTTGTAGACACGCTTGTAGGCGGGCTGTGCAAATCATTTTGATCAAATTTTATTGACACTTTTGAAATGTGATAGATAGAAGATGATGATTATATTGGTAAAATTGTAAATGTTCAAATATTTTCGCAAACCACGTACGTATTATCTCAGAGACGAAATATTTGACGAAAAACAATTAAAAATTTAGTCAATGTAGTACACATGCATACATAAATATTACTTAACAAACAAAATAGTTTGTTAGAAGTAGAGTAGAACCCGAATACGAAGAGAAACCGAGTTGTAGTGAATGAAAATAGAAAACTGTGTTATAAGACGATATGAAAAGTGAAACAAAACCAAAACTTTCGAGTCAACTGAATCACGAAGAACTATGCAACTGCGTGCGTTCCAAATGATCTATGTTTTAAGATTACTCTACCATATACAGCTTTCTCCAACTTA